TTGGAGAAATAATGACCCAAAACTTCCCAAATTTGGTGAAAGACCTCAATTTTCAGATTCGAGAATATTAGGAAACACCAAACAGGATAAACTAAAAGAAAACCACGTCGACACATCATAATCAAACTGCTGAAAACTGATGATAAAAAAAAAATCTTGAAAGCAGCCATAAAAAAAAACAACATATTACATATAGACTGACAATGATTCAAATGACTGCAAATTTCTCATCTGAAAACACGAGTATCAGGAGATAGTGGACATCTTTAAAGTGTTGAAAAGTCTAAAAAGAAATAGATGTGCTGAAAATTACACAATTCTTTCATAACTTCTCCTAGACTCACTAAAGTTACAAAATAATTTAAATTAGCCTAAAATCTGCCTAGCCATTGTATTTAACATCTGGAATGCCACACACCTGGATCTGGCAGCCCTTACGCAGTTTGGATGGTTGTCAGGGATAACCCCCTTTCCCATGGGGGTTGGCAAAAATGGCAATTTACATTGCTCCACCAATTTCCTGATTCCCTCCTCTGCATGGGCATAAGCAGCACCTAGAAGAAATGCAAATTTATTGCACAAGTCAGTTAAGCTCCAGGCAATGACCCTTAAATGAGTTCATGCAAAACTGCTTTTAGACCTTCTCAAATATTCTCTTCCTTACACAGGGCTTCAACTCAAAACAAATTACTACTGTTTTTAACCTGTGGCATTTAAAAATGTTTAAGAAAGCAATAATTCTAATTTCTTCTCCAATAATATTCTCAATTATTCTGAAAGATGTTTATCCTCCCAAAAAGCTGCATCTCACATCTCTTCTGCTCTCAATGGCCCATTCTATGCTAACAGTCCTACTGAATTGCTACTCACAATTCCCTGAACACATTGCCTTTACCAGTAGGCCCAGGAGGGCAAGGAAGGACTCTGCCCTGACAGGGGAAGGCTCTCTCTAATTTTGCATATTGCCCGCCCCCACCAGCTAACCTGGACTGCAGTCTCTTAGTCTAGGCATGGAAATTCTAACAATAGGCATAAGTTTCTAAAGCTCTATAGCTCTCTTCATAGGCTCTACAATTTTGATTGCAACATGAAGAATACGAGAAGATCACATATCATTTGTTTTTACAGTGTGTGTCTGCAGAATAACTATGCCTTATTTCGATGACACTGAAAACAACTCACTGTTTGAATACATTTCTAATGTCATCAAGGCCACTATATATATTTTTAGCTATTTAGTTTTATACTCTTTTTTAGGACTAATAGAATATTACTGCATATTTAGAGTTTGTAATTCTCCACTGAATCCCAGTAAATGGTATAGTGTACGTTCAGATTCGGTGTAATGCTCCCCTCATAAAACCACCTTAGAACCTTTTCTCATATATGTAGGATGAAAAGTAGTTCCTTTTTCTCATCCAGAAAGTTACCTTGTAGTCTCTTTCTTGCCTCTATATCTTTGCACATCCAGTTCTCTCTTCTTGGGATTGTCTTTGTTCTCTTTGCCCATGCAGTTGACCTATCATACATATTTCGTGAAGGTGTAGCCACAGTATCGTCTCCTCTGGATAATCTTTCCACACCAACTACATGAGCAAATTGTTGCTGTCTCCCTTGAGAATCCACCTCACCTCTCTGTACACATCACTTAAGAGTATATACTGCACTTATGTGTTACTAAGTCTACCTCCCTTTAGGCAGGGAACATTATTTCTCTGTATACTTCACAGAATGTTTTCTATACTACCTGACTTATCCTAAGTGTTGATCGAATATCGGTTAAAGAAAGAATTAAAACTAGCATCTACTGAGTGCTTTCTACTTATTTTGTTATTTAATTATAACAATACAGTTGAGGTGATTAATATCTTTTTTATAACGAGGTATTTGAGACCCACAGCAGTTGTTTGCCAAGATCAGAGAGCTGGCACATCATATAGCTACTTTAAACTCAGATCTGACTTTGATTTTTTCATGTTGCCCACCATTTTCATTACAACGATTTTTAGTTTCTATATAGTTAGTTCCTAAGTAGTTGATAACTGACTGACATGGTCATAAGTGGTTCATAGCCTCCTCAGTTCTAGAACATATAATGGATACCATAATAAATTGCTGACAGGAGTGTAAATTGGTACAATACCTTGGGAGAAAGCAACCCGATAATGTGCACTTAAAGCCTTAAAATTTGGATACCTCTTAACTTTGCTAATTTCCTTTCTGGGAATCTTTCTTATACCCTAAATATGGAAAAAGCTTTAAAGTACAAACATGCTTTTCGCAGATATTCTAAACAAACAGAAACTGGCAAATACTTGCCATAAAGTATTAGTATATACATGAATAGATACTAAAAATTATATTAAAAAATTTAAGACTATGAAAAAATGTTATAATGTTAAATAGATTAAGTAGAATATAAAACTGTTTATGTAGTATGATCACAATATATGTTAAAATATACATGCAAAAAGGAATAGAAAAGTACTACATGTTAAAAATGGTTATCTTTGGATGAAGGGATTTCTTTATAATCTTCTGGATTTTCCAAAATTTTTAATAACAACGTATTATTTTTTATAATGGGGAAAAGAACACATTTTACTTGTAAGACCAAAGAAATGCAACAGGTGATATTCCATTAAAAGAACAAGATCACTAAACACTGTAGAATAATTCTATGAATAAGTCTACCAATAAACGATGCTACATGGGTGAAGAACACTCTATTCCAATTTCAAACATTAGAGCAGATGTTAGTAATAAAGACAGTTTCTCGATAGAATCAGCATTCTTTCAACAGCCCAGCAAGACTTAGGTTCCGTTCAGTGCCACCTTTCCCAATGATAAGAAGGGGCTGTTTCGCATTCCTAATAACAGATGCTGCCAGCTGCACAGCAGAGGTTTCTGCCATACTGACAGGAGGTGGCATGCAGCACTCCACGTACCTGGAAATAAAGATGTCTGTTAATTAGGAGACCAATTTTCAAAATTTTTATGGAAAAAATATCAAATATCTAAAAAGGCAGGTAAAAACAGTACAGAAACTCCACATACCCACCATGCAGACTCAACAGCTAATATCATTTTATTGCTTCACACATATACACACAAACATGCATATAACAATTTTTTTTTCCTAAACTATTTCAAAGGAAATCTTGGCATCAAGATTTAAAAGCTTCCCTATGTAGCCCTAAAAAAGAAAGACTTTCTTCTATATAACTATAATATCCTTATCAAATTGAGCAAATTAAGAGTTATTCCCTAATATCGTCTAAGCCAGCCGAATGAGTAAATCAATGACAGGAAATTTGAGTTAATGTCTTTGCATGGTAGTAATAGTTGTTGTTGTAGTACTAGTAAAAAATGTACTAAAAGCTAATACATAACACCTACTATGTGCCAGTTATTCACATTTTAATTTTCAAAACAATGAGGTTAGGTATTATCATTATCTCCACTTCACCAATGAGGAAAAAAAATTCAGAAAGTTAGTAATTTGCTCGGGGTTCCTAGACAGCATGTGGCAAAGAATGGATTTAACTAGGTCATTCTGTCTCCAAAGTCCATGCTTTTAACCACCTCACTATATTTTTACTCACTGGGTAAGTCAATATTTTAGTACCACAATATGCATTATTAGTAAAAGAAATATTAAAACTGTCATAGTTAATTATTTTTGGACACTGAGATCTCAGTGTTTCATTTTATTTATTATGATAAACAGCATACTGTACAAAACTTGGGCATACAATACAAAAAGAGAACATTCAAATCTTCACAAAAATTTTAATGAAGGATTACAGAGTTAACTTACCTAAGGCTCATCTCTCCCTCCCCACAGCCAATAATATTATTTTGAGTATCATGTTTAGGTATTATGCAGAATAGCTGTCCTTTTTGTCTGACTTTCCCAAATAGAAACCACTCCTTGGTATATATGAGTGCACAGAAATACCCACTTTCTCTCTGCAATTACTAGAGGACCAGACCACTTGGTCTACAAT